GTGGCAGATAGAAATGGAAGCAATACACCTTTTCTCCCAGACAAATGCATCAAATTAGCTCCATGTGTCATTCTGACATCAGTGTTAAATGGTGTATGGGTTTTAATTTGAATATGCTTTTGACCGAGTCTGTTAGAAGAAACAATGCTGTGGACACCATAACTTGATTGGGAATTGGTGGTTCTCAGTTCCTGCTTACTCTGTTGGAAATCCCAGACTCTCTCATGGTTGTCCTCTTGCCATTGTTGGATTAGATACCTCCTTCAGTTGTTCTGGGTGCTGCACAGCATCTGCTCAGCCATCAGATGAAGCTGAAAGTGAGATAAAAATAAAATATAATGGAAGGTAGAAAAATACACAAAGGAAGGGAAGGATGGCCAGGATGGTGGTGGATCTCCTTCAAAAGCAGCAGGTTATAATCTTGACAAGTATTCTGGCCTCAGTGTAGCTGTGACTGGCACTGAGTATCTGGAGCAGACAGGAACACTCTCCTCACTTCCACTGTTTCACCCCTTTTGTTGTCACACTGCCACTTTGAAGCTCCAAACCGAGATGGAAATCTTAGACCTGGTCTTATTCACCTTATTTTTCACAAATTCAATGTAATTGTGGATGTGCCAGTTATGATCTACTAATTTATCCTGTGTTAATCACAATTCTGAGTTTACACACACAGCTGTGTTGTTTAGTTTAATGCAGGCTCCTCTCTTTCTGTGCTGTTTCTCTCAACAGTGATTGTTAGAGTTTTCCAGACTGTTGTGATAAACCTCATGTTTCCCTGTGCTGAGCTCACAATTATGGAAGACCTGCAGACCCCAATTATCACTGCAGGTCAAGGGACATGCTAGTTAAATGCTTATGAGTAAACACTGCAGGATGTGGTCCTTCCTTGCTGTGTCTCCTTTAACCCTTAAGCACCATGCATATTTTCTATAGTTTTATAAATAATGTCAAGTGTTCATTAGCAACAACTGAAACGTGACAGTGGCGAAGTGTGATAATGGGAGAAGCTTCTGAAGATGCAAGAGAAGAGACTCTGAGAACGAAAGAAATGTTGTTTTTCTAAAATGTGTCAGAATGTTTGGGTTTGAATTAGCAAATAACCTTTTCAGGAACAATTTCATCTAATTTCTCATATCTTTTCCTGAGTTTTAATCCAGCTCTACATGCAGTTTTCTGACTCACGCTATGACTTAATTTCTTGTTCTGTGCTGTGCTCGGTGCCATAATGTGTGAGCATTCAGACATCTTCCCTCAATCACTTTAATTAAAGCAGGAGTCCTTACCCTCAAATGTGGACAATGACTAACACAGCCAGCTATGCTTGTTAGGCTCAGAAGGTTGTTTTTTTTAATTATAGATGTGCCTACTGGTATCCAGTGCAATCCTGGTTTAGCATTTAAGCAAGTGATCAGCTTAAGTGACTTCAAACAGCTCTTAAAGATAGCTGAGCATTAAGAGAGAACTTAAATGCACTGCTGAATGATGTGAATCAGCTGCTGATTTACTGACAAATTTGTTATCTAGAGAGAATGTCCTTCCTTCCTAGGATCTTATTAGATGAGCTGGAGATAATAGCCTTTTCCTACTGGTGCCAAAATCAGCACAAGATCTGTCTTCACGTGGTAAGCAGCAAACTGGCACAGACTCTTTTGCTTTCTTTAGCTTATTCTCAGCCTTCCCCTCTCCCTCTATTAAGGAATGAACATGAGATGCTTCACAATGTTAATTTTCAGGAGGCTTTTTAGTTGTGAACCGGAAAATTAGGGGTTTTTTTGCAATAATAGATTTATCCCAGCTTTTACTGATGCTCCAAAACCCCAGAGATGAGTTGAAAGGATGGAAACCCTTGACTTGATCTGTGCCACAGGAATAATCCCTAACACAGAATTTATAGCTTTCCTAATATTCTCAAGGCTATCTTCTGGTTGCTGGGCAAACCTTTAAATAAATAAATATGAAATGTATCAGTTGAGATAGCAGTGCCAGTAAGCTCTGATAGGAGGCAGTGAATTGTCACTCTGCAGGATGACTCCAGCTGTAAGGCAGCTGATAGTCCTGCCAGTCCTTTCCTGGAAGCAGATGGCTCTGGCTGGGCACTGAAGTCATGAGGAAGTGTGGAAAGAAGTCTGGAGGGTGCATTCTCCCAGGTGGAGCATCACACAAAGGTTTGGTCCTGGACACTTGCTCATGGATCAAAGCACCCACTTGATGCAAAGAATTTCTCCCCACCTTGGCTGAGGGGACCAGAGCCATTCCAGGAGCCCAGTGACATTTGACAAAGAGTATGAGTAAAATCAAGCTTGAAACAGGTTTTGACATAAGAACAGATTCATGCATAAATGCAGTGAGTTATTGGCTATAAATGGAAGTAGTGGAAATAGGATGTTAGCAGAGAGTTTATTTTTAACTACTATTTAGACTTTCCAAAGTGTTGTATGTGATAAAAACCAAGGGCTGGTAAAAATTCAGGTAGGGGTAAAATGTTACAATATTCAGTATTCTCTGAGAGTAGGTGAAATACCAGAGAGAAATGGTGTGATAAGGAAAAAACTTATTCCATCTAAAAACGTTAGTTTATAATGTTAGCTAAATTAAGCAGTTATTGATTTTTAATTTATGTTCTCCTCACTGGCTTATTTAATATTTTTTTAAATTTCAGATTTTATTATGGGGTGCTCTCAATTTGAGTGGCAATAGTGAAAGAGATATGCTCTGTAGCATACTGGCTGTTCTGCCAGCAAAGTAAACAGCACTTTAGATAAGATTTGGGATTGCAGCTTTGCTTAATGAGAGCATCATCTTTCAGGGCACGGATTTGCTCATGTAACCAAATAGGCCATGCATATCCCTATTTATTATAAAAATTAATATACAGAACCAACTCTATTTATGTGGCTATATGGGCAAGCTGTGTGATGTCTGTCCCTGTCTGCATAACTTCATTATAGCAGTAGTCAGTAGCTCAGAGAAGGAATGGCAGTGAAGCTCTGTGGCATTCTGTGGGTGCTTCAGCTGGAGAAGGAAAATCTAACAGTCCTGATATGAGAAGGATTCATATACTGTATCCCCACATGTCTCTCTACTGGTAATGCTCTCCTTCACAGTGAGCTCTAGATGATATGCACAGTACAAAATGCTTAGCTTTACACTGAGGTTAAAATCAGTATGGATTAGAACACGGGAATTTGGTACTGTGTGGTATTTGATGATAAAATTAAATTGGATGCTTGTAAGAAGAATAACAGCTATGCCATATTGCTGCGTGGATGCTGTTATCTGCATGTGTGTTCATTTTTCTTAATGCTAAAATAATGCTACAAACATGGAGTGTAAAGGAAAATAACGTCAGTTTTATAATCTGTTCAAGAATGCTGCTCCTTTTACCGCAACCGTCGTGCAAAGCAAGAGCTTCCTTGCCATGTTTCCCCAATAAAGTGGGAATGATATTAAATGACACTGTGTCTTTTTATACAATTCACAAGGAAAACCAATGAAAGCAGAAGGAAAGAGCCATGAGGTCCAGCAGTTGCCCTGCAGTGCAGATAGGGAAGACACTGACCAGTCTCAACTTATCTTAGAGGCATTTGATAACTCCTTGAGATCATGCAGTGAGATATCTGTCCTTCTGCCAGTGCTAAGGAATGCACAAGGTGTATTATGCAAAAGTTTTCTTTATTTTACAATAGCTATTTGTGTAATTGTACTTGTACAGTGGCCAAAAAGGCAGTATGTTCTCCTTCTAGGCCTATTGATAAATCTTCACTGTTTCTATATTTTTTTATTCAAATGGTTTAGTTTGCACCAATTGAGTTTTCTTTCCTAATATAAAACCTTCAACCAAAAAGCATTTAAATCCATAGCAATGGAAAATGTGTACCAAACTTTAAAATTTGCTAATTGTAAATCCCTTTGTCTTTGGAGTGCCACAGAGCAGATCAATTCCAAGTAATTATTATGTGAAAAATGTAGGACTCTTTGGTTCATATATATATATAGAGAGAGAGAGAGAAGACATGCAAAGCCAATAGAAAAAGAATTTTAATTGGTTTGAGATAGTAACAGGAAATGATTTTCCTTCATTTGTAGAATCAAAAAAAATTAAAGTATCTCAGCTATTAAATTTGGGAAAGGAGTGCATATTTCAGTGCTGCAGTTACTGATGTGTGAAATACAGAAAAATGTTAATTGAGGTAGGCTTGTGAAGTGAAATTAGTTGCAAGTGGACTGCAGATGAGCAAAGGGATTCTTAGGATGTTGCACCTCAGCCATACTTTGAGGTTAATTCATTAAGGATAATTGGAATGTTAAATAATTTTCTATAAGGAATCATTGCTGCAGTAGTCTAACACTTTAAGTCTGATTGAATCAAATGCTAATTACCAATATTCACATTTATGTTATGCTTATTTACATACTGGACACCTTTATTATTTCCTTGACTGCTGATAGTGGTTTTTTGTCAAGCCCTTCAATCATCTGAAAATAAGGGCTTGAATGAAGGGAATGTCAGCAAGAACTGCCTGTCCCAGTCTCTAGCCACGAAGTCTCTGTTAAAACACAGGAGCAGTTGAGCAGCCTCTCAGTGTTTCATTGCTGATTATATCTTCACCAATAACCCTAGAGTAAATGCCAAGTCTTCAGTGTGGTTCTCTGCATAGGCTTGACAACACTTATGCAACACTGCACCCAAAATTCTAACAAAGAGGTTCTTGGCACAGGTGTAACATGAGTTAGAGCCCAAGTACCCAAATTGTGCTCCAGGTGCCTTTGGGACCTGAACGTGGCTTGTTGCACTCCAGTCAACAAGACAGATCCTTGGTCTCTGGAAACAGGGAGGGGAGATCTGGTCTTCCTGGCTCCAACCCATCTCCCACCAGGCAGAGGCTATTCAATGTGATGGGACACAATGTCCATGCTCTCATCCAGGAGGAAGGCAAATCAAATCATGCAGGATACATTGTCCACCATAAAAGCAGAATACCAAAGTGTGTTGGACAGAAGTGAACAGAAATGCTGATTTACATCAGAAAGCCAAATACAAATCTATAGCCTGTGGCAGATTTTTTTGTCCTTTTCCTTTATTTATTACTGTTACATAAGTGCCCTCTGCATCTATTTACTCTTACCTGGGGTCTCAGGCTTGCATATTTCATTTACCCAGATGGCCTGCATCACTTTGTGAAGGATGATCTTTCCATGCTGGAAAGGTATGTGTGCCAGGTCCCATGCATGTTATCACTTATTTATTGCCTCCCTGGCGACAGGCTGTCGCCAACAGATGTGTAATTAGAATGGCTCAGGCTGGAGACCTGTGCAAAGTCTGAGTACTTTGATAATTGGCCAGTAAGTGCTGTAGGTCTGTGCTCGAATCCTCTACGATTTCCGCTATCGGAAGCTCAAGTTTTTCAGTGGCATATTTATCTTTTATTCTTCTAAAACAAGAGGAAATCCTTGCTTTATGGATCTGCTCTCATTTGTGTTGACTTACTTGATGACTTGTTATTAAAACCAGCCAGCTTTTGCTTTTGGAGAACATTGAAGTAATTTAAAGAGAACAGCAGTCCCTCTTTCTGCTTGTGCTCCCACCTTGTATGGAAAGAGAAAAAGCAAAAGAAAAAACTGAAAATAAGAATAGGAGAAAAATGTTATCAGAAACAGCTAAGCCAACAGCAAAATCTGCAAGTTCTCTGCGTACTGTTATGATATCTGAAACATAATTATCAAGCTTAAGTTAATTAGACTAATGCTTAGAAAATCTGGCATGGCAGATTGTGGTAAGTAATTATATATACCGATTAAAAGATGTAATATGCAGTGAGCAAAAGCAAAAAGAAAACTCCATTTGATACAGCCAGTGAACACAGACAATTAAGAAGTCAAGTAGATGAGCACTGACAAAGATACTGAACTTTGTGGAAGATGATGGGCAAGATGCCAATTTTCTAGTGGAACAGATTTTGCATAGTATCAGTCAAACTTTTGTTTTATGAAAATCCATCTACTGTTTCCTAACTGAAATACATGAAGGGCCATTTGCTTTTGCATTAGGACTAGCTGACGTGAATACAAGGGTATGTGCAAACAAGAATGTGACATTAGAGGACTAGTTTACATATATATAGAAGTTGTGTAAATAGCTTTTCTTAAAAGCAATTCACAAGATGTCATATGAGAAATAAAGCTGTGAAGACAGTGTCTTCTGCAATTAAATGTAATAATGCTTACGGGTCAGATTGAATGAGGAGAGCCTGTGTGCCTTTGTACACCTCAGTATGTGCCCAGGAAAATCCTGAAACAGACTGAGAACATGATATTTTTTGTGACTTTTGCTTGAAGAATAGTTTAAAGAAGAAAGACCCAAAGAAAGTAAAGAAATGTAAAAGGAGACCTGTGGAAGTTCTGATCGCAAGGGACCCTGGTCTGACTTCAAAATGTGTCTAAATAAATAAAATTACATTGCAAGTCCTCCACAAAATATGTGACTGTGCAACTGATGCACTCCTGAAGAAGGAGTAGGAAACATGCAAATTCCTAGTCTGGCAAATTGAGATGGAGCAAGTCTATGCACCATCCATTCTCCCAGCATTTAATCCACACGTATTTGACTGCACTTCTGGAGTAACACACAACCTCTGCTCAGCTGAGCCACGTGTTTTATTCACATCTGCTGGAAATTGCTTTCATTTCCATTGATCTCATTGTATCCTTAGGCATGAACAAACTGATTGAACTGAAAGCAAACAAAATTACTTTTTATCTCTGAAAATTGGGAATGTTTGGGTAGCTTTTCATGTCTTTGTCCCCTTCCTACCCTCCATCCCCCACAGTCATGTGCTCACCCTATCCATGCAGTGTGGAATTTTCTGTAGCTTTGAAGCATGTCCTCTGGATTATGGTAAGAGAAGGTGGTGATCTGCCAAGGTACCATCACTGGAACAGGACTTGCAGAAATATTGCAAACAAAAAAAAGTTCCTGTGACTTTTTCAGATGAATATTTCTAAAACGTCTGTGCTCAAAAGTTTTAATATTAAATCTGTCCATAAACAATGATACTGAAGACTACAGAATAAAAATGTCTGTGCTCAAAATTTTTAATATTAAATCTTTCCATAAACAATGATAC